ATCACGTGTTATAAATAAGGTGCCATAGAAAGTTATGTATCATGTAAAGATAAGACAATATAAGGACAAAGTTAGACAATGTAATGTCAAAGTTAGCTAATGTGATGTGATATCAAAGTTAGGAAAAGTTAGACAGTGTGATGTAACATATTTTGACTATAGTGGATTTCTTCTTCTAGAAATGGAGGATTATATGAAGGATGAAAGTAGACTTTGTTGAATGAAAAAATGTTTCCTTCACAAATGAATTTCTTTTAATCTTCTTATTCTTTCTAAAAACATAAAGTATATTGTTGATATTATTAGTCCCACACATAAATGCAAGTATGTTATACACTTGTCTTTTATAGGGATCTTGTGTTTTATAAAACTTTTGATCTATGATCCAATTTAACGATTCTCTTATTTTATGAAAAATATGCATATAATGCTCGTAGTAAGACATAGTAATGCCATGGAGGGCTCAAATTTGTCTCTAGATGGTGTTGAGTATGGAGGAGTAGTAAGAGAGGTTCTTAAAAAAACATGAAAGACTCTAACTCTAAAAACCAACCTTCTCAGCCTATCCTTTTAAACTCATCCCTTTCTTTTCCCAAAATCATTTCTAAAATACTTTCATCAAAAATCGAAAACCTCATAGAAAACTCATATGTTCTTGAGGATGCTCAAATCTCAAAAACATTTACTCTTTTGCTTAGTCCTTATAATATTTTCAGAAGACAAATATCTACTCTCAGATCTATCTTTAGAATCATCTTTACTAGAAGACCTAATGTTAAAGAATATGTCTAGTCTTTTAAAATGGATCAATATTCTTTGGTTGTCACCTCTAAAGAACAATATGTTAATATTGAGATTCGTCGAGAACTTATTACAATTTGACAACATGAAGGCTACACTCACCTTCATTATGAAGCAATTAGACTGATTATTTTCTCTTCCTGGAAGAGGACTACCTACCTCAGCTCGAGTCTCTCTTTTAAACTCTAGCTACCTCCACTATGAGAACGTCGTTATTGGGACTATCTTAACTACACTACATGCTGGAAGTGTAGTCCTAACCTTCTTTTCTAACTATAATGTTTGTCTAAAAAATCTCACTGTTCCACAAAGACTAAAATTTCGAGTCCAAGTCATTGGAGTGGACCAAATAGTTGATTCCTTGTTAGTCATTTTTCATCACTAGATAATTTAGAGACTACAAGACCATACCATAAATAATCATTGACTAGAAAATTGAGGATGAATCGTTACTAGAGGCTTCATCAAGTCTCTTGAAGATGGTTTTTGCACTTCCATCTACAAACCTTCTAAAATCCTTTTTTGAAGATTGTATTGACTTTTTGTGTTCATGTAGTTTTTCATAATTAGTCACCCATTCTAAATGAATAATTTTTTATAATTGTTGCCTAAATATGTTCCTAGGGATCTGAATGATTGAAGAAGTCTCCTCTTGGATGTTGGCTAGGACAAATAGAAGACCATCATTGCTAGTAGGTAATGAGATTGACGGCATGGTCCTATAGTCTATAGATTATCTAGTGATAAAGAATGACTAACAAGGTATCAATTATTTGGTCCACTATAGTGATTTATACTTGAACCTTCAGTCTCTTGGAATAGTGGGATCTTTGAAACTAACATTATAGTTAGGAAAGATACTTAGGGCTACACTTCCAACATGTAATGTAGTTAGGATAGTCCCAATAACAATGTTCTCATAGTCGAGGTAGCTAGAGTCTAAAAGAGAGACTCGGGTCGAGGTAGGTAGACCTTTTCTTCCATGAAGAGAAATAATCAATCTAATTGCTCCACAATGAAGGTGAATCTAGCCTTCATGTTGTCATTGTCTGATATGTTCTCGAGGAATCTCTATATTTACATATTGTTTTTTAGAGGTGGCAAGCAAAGAACATTGATCCATTCTAGAAGATCGGATACCAAACTTATGAAGGATGATTCCTACAATTTTATTGAAGAATTTTTCTATAGAATGACTAGTACATTGAAATAATGGTACCATAATTTAGGAGTTATGCAATAAGATCAACATCATAGCATGAATACAATAGCAGTTGTTATTGGAGCTCTTGTTCTTTAAAGGTGGCAACCAGAGAACATTTACCTATTCTAGAAGATTGGACATATTCTTTAACATAAGATATTCTGGTACATATGAGTTTGGAGATAAATTTGAGAGTAAATCTTTGTCTTCTAAAAATATTATAGGGACTCAGCAAAGGAGTAAATGTTTCTAGGATTTGAGTATCTTCCAAATCATAGTATTTTATAACATTTTTTATTTTTGATGAAAGTGTTTTGAAAATATTTTTGGGAAGAGAAAATGGTGAGTTTAAAAGGATAGGTTGAGAAGGTTATATGCCAAACTTATGAAGGATGTTGGTTCCTACAAAGTTATTAAATAATTTTGTTGTAGAATTACTGGTACTTTGAAAGAATGGTACCATAATTTAGGAATTGCGTGACAAGATCAATTTCATAGCTTGAATACAAGAGTATCCCCATATATTGTTGAATTTGCTTTATTGTTAGAGATTGATTCAAGAAATCAAGAATTTATTCTGCTATGTAAAGTTGAAGTTTTGTGAGAATCCATATCCTTGGAGATTAACAAAATATCATTTATGTATATGAGAACATTTTCTAGGATAGGTGGTGACATGACAAAAAGTTTTACCTAACCTTATCTATACACCATAATGACATCTTTAACATGTTAAACTATCATTTTAGTCTGATTTGGTTGAAAGTGAAAAGATGTATTGTCGTACTTTTGATTAAGTCAAACTTCTATACACAAGATGATGATAAGGATATATAGTCTTATGCATTATCGCTTCCATTAACTCTACATTGTAATCATCTGTCAGATCTCTAACTTTCTGGAATTTTCATTTGGAACATAAATTTTTTATGTGGACTTAAAAAATTTGTCTCTTGAGAAAAGTTGGAAGGAACTATCCTATTGTTGGGATAATAGTCATTGGGTCTTTGAGACAAACTTTCCTGATTAGAATCAGGTGATTTAGGATGATAGTTGTTAATTTCATAGAGATGTCTGGCAAGTTGAAGTTTACAACTCTTATATAGAGAATAATTTCCAAAGTTTCCCTAAAAATACACTTCATTTATGTAAAGGCCATCTTTGAGAGACCTAATGAAGCCTCTAACAACAATTCATTCTAAATTTTCCAATCAATGATGATTCTTCCATTTATAGAGGAAGGAATGATTCCTATTTATGTTGTTCACCCTAGTGGAAGAATTATTTACTTTGATAAGGTGAATGGTCACTTCATATAGGATGTAGATCCTAATATGTGCGATCCTGGTTATGAGTACTGACAACATTCATGAGGTACCAGCAACAAAGAGGATGATTAATGGAAAGGAAGATCATGTAAGCCACCTCCTCCTCCCAGAAATATTCTCAAAACACTTTCATCAAAAATTAAAAACCTTATAGAATACTCGTATGTGGTGATCTTGGTAATTGGATCAATCTTTCTATCAAGAGAAGGAAACTCTTGATCATATGATATTCCAGTAATCATCATGCAAGGAATTGTTTGACTAATTGGTGAATTTATTATCGCATTACACCTATTATACTTTAAAAACTCTTTAGGACATTTATTTCTTTGAAACATTATATTTAACAAATATTATTCTTTAGAACATTTAGACATTTGTTTGATTACATTTCAATATTTTTACAAATATTTTTAAAATTTAAAATAATTGAAATAAAAAAAATGAGTTGAAACTAAAGTTATAAATAAAATAAAATTTTAATTACATCTAATTTAATTACTTTTTTATTTTAAATTATTTAAAATATTGTTTATAAATTTTCAATATTATAAGATTAGTAAAATTTATTTTTATTTATAATATAATCATAAAATAATTGAATTCTTTTATAATTTTAAATATCCAACTTAAAATTTTAAATAATTCTAATATGATTTAAATTTTTAAATAAGAAATATTAATATGTGCATGTGGACATGCGCAACGAGAATTAATCACCAATATTGAATACAAAATAAATAAATTATGAATTTCAATAGGCCTTTTAAAAGAAAAAATTAAAATTTAAATATGTTTTTAGTTCCTATAAAATTAACAAGTTTTGATTTTAGTACTTGTAAAATTTTTCTTTTTCTTCATCCTTATAAAATTAAAATTATTATTTTTAATCCCTATTTTTATGTGATCATTTTCTAACTACTTTATTTATTAAAAATCATTACTAATATTATATCGATATTTAACATTTTTAAAAAAATTTATAGATCCATAAAATAAATATTATTTATCTATCTTAAAATGAACATTAAGGATTAAAAATAATTTGTTTAGATTTTAGAGAGATAAAAATCAAAGAAAAATATTTTACAAGGATCAAAATCAAAATTTAATTATTTTACAAAGAGCAAAAAAAAAGTATTTATAAATTTTAAAAGGATGAAAAATAAAATAAAATAAAAATAAAAAGACCAAATAAAATCATCAATTTTATAAGAACTTAAAAACATATTTAAGTCAAAAAATTAATTATATTTTAACTTAATTATTATTCTTTTGGCAGTAATAAAAACTTAATTATTCTTTACTAGCAGAAAAAAAGTATTCCGTACTTACATTATATTAAAAAATATATATAAAATAAATAAATAAATAAAATAAAAAATAGAAACTAAAAGTAGTTATTAAAAGTAATATCTTTTATATATTAATATAAAAATATAGATTCATTAATTTTAAATTCTTAAATTTAAATAAAAAATATTTTTTTCTAATTTTTTTAAATAAAAAATATAATAATAAAAAAAGTAAAAATCAATGTAATTACCAAAAAGTATCTCATATATTAGTATAGATAAATATAAATTATATTATTATTAATCTTAATCTGACTACAATATATTTATTTCACCAAATTTTAAAACCCTATTTTGCAACGGTTACTCGCTCCATTTTTATATTGCCGAAACTCTGCAGAGTTCCATTCATCAATGGCGACCAAAGATTCGGCTCTGGAGTTGCACGAAATCACCACTGATTCTGAAGGATCCGACGCGGATCCCGAATGGGGCGATTCCGATTATGAAGACCCCGATTTCGACGTGCACGAAGAAACCCAAATCAACTTCTCTAACTTTTCACTTAAGCACAACCCAAAAACAGCGCGGTAATCTCCTTATTCTATTCCACCCCATTATTTAAAATCCCATTTTTAAGCCTTACTTTGTCGAAATTTGGTTCTTGCAGCGTTGTCGAAGATAAGGGTCTTGGTGAGGAGGTGTTGGAAGCGACTTCATCTGTTCGTGATGGAGAGAATTTTGATAAAGTTCAAAAACTAATCGAAGGTGAATCTTCTTTTTCTCTTTGGGTTTTAGTGACTGATGGAATCTTTAGCTACTCTTTGCTTCAATTAGATACAATAACACCCTTTTTTTAACAAGCTTTTTCTTAGACCAATTTTTGTGTTGTTCGCTCGTATTGGTCTTATCAGGTTCGAACAGAAACGCTTCTAGTGGAAGATACCTATGGTTCTTAAGAAAAACACTTTGTGATGTTACTTAAATGTGATGACAGAACATGATGTGTGATTTTGGTTGTGTTATGTGTGTTTAAGCTTTTCTATTAAACATGTTTATCTTTCATTTGTTTTGGTTGGCAGCGGGACTGGTGGAGAAATTGAAAGTGGATGAATGCAAGTTGTATTTGAGGAAGAATGGTCTGAGGCTAACTGGGAACAAGGAAACGCTAATACAACGCATAAAGGAGCATTTAGAGTAATTGATATTTTGCGTGCAAGTGCAACTGGTAGCTTTTCAAAGAAAATTGTATGGTTTTTCTGATTCTTTGTGATTTTCAGGATTTTACATGGAGGGGAGAAAAAGTATCCACCTTCTAGTTTTGTGCTTAATTGTAAAGGTTAGTACTAGTGATTTTTCAAAATATGTTGATTTAAATGTAGCATTTCTAAAAATTATAAAATTACTTGTTCAGGTTAACATAACATGTAAACTGCCCCCTTGAGTTCCTCACTTCCTCTTAAGTTTGAGAGAAATGTCTTGATAATTCTAACCACGGGAATATTGAGGGTCCGATATCACTCTCCCATTAGTTTTTTCTAAACAATTTTATTTTAGTTAAATTTTTAATTGAGTACTTTTTCTTTGAAATCTATTAAGCATTCACCAGTATCCCCACTAGTAAAAATATCAAATAAATATTTGTTTTTACAATTCCTGCAGTTTGCTCAAACTCTGTTGGTCTTTAATTTTTATCATCTAAGGCTTGAGAACTTGAACATTATTTGCCCTATGCAGGTGATGCATGCACCGGTGATGTTGTTTTGTTTGAGCAAAATGTCTATGAAATGTAAGCTGCTCTTTTTACCTTTTTCTATCTCAATGCATCATAAGTGGAAGACATCTGTGATTTTTTAAACTGATTTTTTTTAAAGCAAATATATATATATATAAAAAAATGGTGGAACTTATATAAACATATTATAGAAACTAGATTAATTCATTACTGACATTAATCTCAGCAAGTGTTGCATGTTGATAGGACCAAGATACATGGGAGCTGGTTGTAGTATTTAAGTCCAAGAGCTTTAACAGTGAAACATACAACCATTGAATTAACTACAAAAGACAAATCAAGCTTGCTTTCATATGTGCTTTTTGTTCTTGGAGACCTCAAATGCAATGGCGTAGTAGAAAAAGTTTGGACCAACAATTCAAGAAAGACATGTTTTATTACATATTGACATACACAGCATTGTTATGCTTACTGGTGTATATGCCACTGGATATATTATCTAGTGGATGACTAACTTCCAAAGGAGAGATTAATGATGTTGGTGAAGTTCATTGCTAAATTACACCCATCTTCTTCCAGTTTCCTCATCAGTATTTTTTTTCTCAGGTTCAACATCGCATCCAGGAGTGCCAGTGGTCCACCTTGTGGCAAAAGGATTGTTGCAGGCCGCATAGTGAAAGAAAGCTATGGTGCTGCTAAGCAACAGCATACGTTTACGGTGAGAATTTTTTTTAGATAATTCTCTTAGATGGATATTGGATACTGACCTTATGGTATTGTATAAGAAATTAATTAATGCCTTAAATACATTTGCAAAGTAAAAGTAGGCTACTATTGTACAAGAAGGGTACCGGTCACTTGTCTCCATTTCTTGAAAGAAATTTTGTTATATGATATATCCCAATAAAGATGCACATTTTCTCTCTTGGATAAGAGTATACTTTATTAAGCCACTAGCAAATAGATTATCTTTGAATCATTATTTAGTTCTTCCGCCAACAAAACGCTTCTACGTATCCTGTTCTTATACAGATTGAAGTACTCTGGAGCAAAGGAGAAAAGCCTCTCCCTCCCCTTCACCCCTTACTGATTAAAGGTCGAAACCTTTACAGGTTGAAGACAATGAGACAGGTTCCTCATTTGGAAGCATTTCTCCTTCTGATGTCAATGAGTTATTCCATATTATTTAATGAATATTATGCACCGTGTCTTTAATTTTAGAAATGGGAGGATGAAGTAAAAAGGCAGAAAATATTGATGGAAAAACACTCAAGGGGATCTTTTGCAAGGGCAGATAGAGAAGCGAGGATACAAGAAAAGGAGAAGAGGAAAAAAGTTAGAGAAAATAGGTACTTGATTTCATATCATATTTAAAGTATCCTGTCTTCTTAACACTGCAAGTAGTAGTAACTATTTATATATACAAAATAATTTCATGTACTTATGCATTCTTCATGTTCAGGGTCTCCAAAAAGGATTCAGCAAGGAACCAATGTCAAGAAACAAATGTACCCACTAATCTAGAAAAGTCAGAATTTCCATCTCGAAATTCTGGTTTATCTGCCCACATTGGGAAAGAAACATTGGCTAATAAACCTCTAGTTATACCCGGACAATGTGTTGATTCTAAAACTATGGCTATGGGAATGGGATCTGACCAATTGGAAACTAGATCATTTCCTGTTCACCACATACATAATCAGCAACCTTGGAATCCCACAACTGGTTGTAGGAGTACTTTTAATACTGATCATATGAGGGGAGCTTCACTTGGTGCAAACTACAACTATGCTAACCTCCATTTCAGAGAAATACCTATTAATATCGAGAAAAACTACCCTTTCATTGCTGGGGCAACTGGATTTACAGGGTGGAATCATCAAAGGGTGCCTTTGGCAAATGCAAACTACTCTCACCCGATGATGCCCAACAGAGAAAGCCATAAGCAAACCCAGCTGTGTAGACATTATTCCCGTGGGAGGTGCTATTTTGGGGACACCTGCAAATTCTTGCATGATTTGAGAGACACGGGGAATGTGTGACAAATTTGTTGTGGCATGATTCCATTTATGTTGAGGAATTAAAAAATGCTTTACTTTTTTAATTGAAAAATAGATCGATTTGTCTGCTATACAAGATTAAAAGATTTTGTGGCGTTTTCTCTAAGTCCCTTCTTTGTAATTGCCAATGTGTTGCAAATTCTTACGTGTTTCCCTCTAAGATCAAATGGTTGTGTAGAATCTACAACCTTGCAATCATATCAATTCAACATCCTGAGTTTTGTTAGGATATAAATAGGGTCCTAAATAGTTATAATAACAAGAGAAATCAGTTTATAAAATACACATATTATATTGGTTAAAAGTTTTATAGGTAATGATTAAAAACAAAATCATGAGAGTTTAGGTTCAAAATATCAATGTTGATATTTGTGTAAATAATCAACAAAAATAACAAAATATATAATTATTCTATTGATAAATATATTTCTCTTAGACAAATATCATTATATAACCTTAATAGTGGTATAAGAGATAGATTTTGTTGAATGAGAAATTAATTTTTTTTGAGGAAAGGATTGTTAGATCATAAATAAGATGTTACATTATTAGAATAAGATGATAAATAAAAGTTTATAAAACACACACTTCACTAGTTAGAGACCTTTCGAGTGATAAATAAAAATAAAATTATAAGATTTAGTTTCAAAGTGGACAATATCTAACTAATGTTGAGTTGTGTGTGTAAATAATCGTAGAAACAAGATATAATAATTCTTCTCTTGGTAAATATATCTCTCTTAAACAAATACTTTAACATAATTGTAGCAACCTCCTCGCTTGAGAATTTAAAGGCATTTATCTCTTGATAGTAATTTTTTTTTTCACTTCAATCTTGTTACTATTCAGTACTAGTATTAGAAGAAAAAATATATAAATGAAGTGTTGTCTATTGTTCTAATCTTCAAGTACATCAGAACATATAGATGGTGATGATTTTGTAGTAAGGAAATATCAAAGAAAAAGGTTTTTTCTTTTAATCCGTAGAAATTATTATGATGACAACACATTTAATTTTTAGATTTGTATATATTATTCCGATTTCCACCACTAGATCAACCCTAGTTGTTAGAGATGAGTATTTAATTGTGATAATCTTGGAACAAAGAAGAAATGACAAAGAAAATGTGTTAGTCTTCAAAGTGTATGTAAAGTATCGACTTTTAAGTTCAATTTGGGTCAATCAAATTCTATAGAAATTATATGTAATAGAATGTCCTAATGAACCTCTTTTAGGATAAATATATTCTTCTCAAACAAATATTATAATATAACTCTAACAACTTCCGCATCTGAGACTTTAAAGGCATTTATCTCTTGATGGTATTTTTTTTCACTTCAATCTTGTTACTATTCACTAGTAGTATTAGAATATATATATATATATATATATATAGTTAATCACCTATACACTAGCAGTGTAAAGTTTTTTTACACTGGCAACTAATTATATCTTTTAATTATGCCATGTCACTATAAACACATTTACTTTTAACAGTGACATGGCACAATTAAAAGATATAATTGGTTGTCAGTGTAAAAAAACTTTACACTAGCAGTGTATAGGTGAACTCATATATATATA